ATATATACATCACATTTTATATAATTTATATCTTCAATTAAGTATTATTATTCAATATTATTATTCCTAGATAAAACTTTATATAATTATTATCTATTTAATAAGTAATAAATCAAATTATGCAAAATATTGTCTCGAGTGGACAAAACACCTGACACAACCGTATATATGTGTCCTATACGATAGTAATACAGCGAATACATAAACACACTTAGCTTCGTATTCGGAGCACGCTTTTAGTGCTGTTAGACCACTTGTTTATCACGACGCCCTTGGGTCTACTACATATGTATATATTGTAACATATATATATCTATATATCTATATATATATATAAAGATATGTCGTACACCTTGTCAGCCTTATTAACTATGAAAAAGAAAAGTTGTCACTATTATTATGGACACATTGAATAGCAAATAGGAAATTTCTCTTTTCACACTATTGTACACACACCTGTTATTATTTGATTTAGTTAGTCAATAATTCAAATCAAAATAATTTCATTTCTAAAAAATATTCATTTTTCTTCTTATTCTTCTTTTTTTTTATCATTTCATTCTCATCGTTTTTTATATCTCTCAAAGATCATTGTATTTAGATAACATTTTTTATTTGTTTTTTATTTTTTTTTTATTTTTACCATTTATTGGGTCAATATTTTTCAACACTTTTAATGGAATCAAATTTACATGATCAGTATTTTATGTATTGTATAATTAAATATGAATATTAAATTTTAGTATTTTTTTGTAAATATATATTTACAACTTAGATGTAATTTACAAATACTAATTATTTATTTTATATATTATATATATATATATATATAAAATTCTACCTTTTTTTATTTTAGATATATATATTATATCTACAAAATAAATAATAAATAATAAAATATTAAAAAAAAATTAATAATAAAATAATAAATAATAAAATACTAAAAAAAAATTAATAATAAAAAATAAATAATATATTTATATTTACATTTAATATAAACAAATAACAATTTATACACTAAACATAAATATTAATATTTCTTTAATTTCAACATATTTATAATAATAAAAAAAAAAAAAAAAATTAATATTGATCGTACAAAAATAAAAAAAAGAGTATCAAAATCATTGATATAAAAAATATTTGACGACGAACGATACAAAAATTCACCCCCATAAAATCCTCTTGCAAAAACTTATAAACAAATAGTAAAGAAGAACAGTGAAGAAGTAGAAGTAGAAGTAGAACAAGGTGGGGTGAAGATAGGAGGGTTGTTAAAACGTTTTTAGAAAAAAAAAAATCAACGTTCGAAAAGGGGGTGTATGTGGTGTGTGTGTGTGTGTTCTTTCATGTCATCTTAATACGAACATTATAATCCTAATCTTTTTTTTTTCTTCTTTTTTTTCTTCTTTTTTTTCTTTGCTTCTGTCTTCTTTCCATCGTATATATTTGCAATGGTTACATATCACACACACACAACCCTCTTCTTCTTTAGGGCTCTTATCCAGGTTGATCGCATAATCTAACGGAAAACGTGCGTAGATTGACACGAACCGATAATGATAAGAACGAATGAGAACAAAATTATGGGGGTGTTTTTTTTTTTTTTTTTTTTTTACTTCTTCAACCATTTTTTTTTTCTTTTTCTTCTTATTTTACTTTCTTTTTCTTAAGCTTAGCTTAACAACAACAATCTTCCCTCTCAATCGTTTTATTTATTTTTGTTTCCCTTCTTTTTTATTTTTTTTTTTATTTTTTTCATTTTTTTTTTTTCATTTTTTTCTTCTCTTCTTCGTTCATTTTTCTTTTCTTCTTCTTCTTTTTTCTTCTGCTGTTTTTATTTCTTTTCTTTCATTTTGTTTTTCATTTTGCTTTTTTTTTTCTTTCTTCTTTTTCTTCTTTTTTTTCTGTTTTATTTTTTTTTTTTTCAATTTGTTTTTCTTCTTCTTTTTTTTCATTTTTTTTATTCATTTTTTTTATTCATTTTTTTATTCATTTTTNTTTGTTTCCCTTCTTTTTTATTTTTTTTTTTATTTTTTTCATTTTTTTTTTTTCATTTTTTTCTTCTCTTCTTCGTTCATTTTTCTTTTCTTCTTTTTTTTTTTTTTTTTCATCTTTTTCCTCTTCCTCTTTTTCTTCTGTTTTATTTTTTTTTTTTCAATTTGTTTTTCTTCTTCTTTTTCTTCTGTTTTATTTTTTTTTTTTTCAATTTGTTTTTCTTCTTCTTTTTTTTCATTTTTTTTATTCATTTTTTTTATTCATTTTTTTATTCATTTTTTTATTCATTTTTTCTTCTCCTTTTTCTTCTTCTGTTTTATTCATTTTTTATTTATTTTTTATTTATTTTTTATTTATTTTTTATTCATTTTATTGACAAGAAGATTAACACAAATTTCACAAGTGAAACATTTTAATCAACAATCGTTATTTATTATTATTATTATTATTATTATTATTATTATTATTATTATTATTATTATATTTATTATACAAATTACTGTAGTATTATTTAAATGATTATTTATACTTCACGAAAATATGTAAAACAAATTGAAATGGGCATCCATTTCGAAAATGAGATTTAATCGTGAATCGTTTTAAATCCTTATCTGTAGCAATTAAGAAAGTTATAACTACGATAGAGAGAGAGAGAGAGAGAGAGAGAGAGAGAGTTTAGTGTTGTTTTATAGGATTAATATCTCTACATCGAAGAAATAATATTTCTACTATTATTACTATTACTGTTATTACTATTATTACTATTATTATTATTATTATTATTACGATAATTGAAACACAACATACTGTTAAAGTATATTGATTAATTAAACGCTTTAATATCTAAAGATAATAATACATTTTGTAAATGTTATCAAATTATTTAAGATTGAACAATACGATGGGTTTAATTAATTTTTTTAATCGATAATATTATTCAATCTTTGATGAGACGAAAATGATACATTTTTTTTTTTTATTACATTCGTAGGTTGTTTCAATTACAAAATAAAAAGGAGAAGAGAAAAAAAATAAAGTATCGAATGTTCCTTTTTAAAAATAGAAAACCTTCTACCTTCTCGCAAATTACAAACGCCTACTTCGTTCGTTAAACGATAATCTTTTTCTGATTATATGAAACTTTTAACTCGAGGGGTAGGGACGGGGAGGAGGGGGAGGGGAGGGGATAAATATCAGAGCACGAAAATGTCGTAGGAGTCATTTTTCATCCTGAAGTAGTAAGTCTCTCTCTCTCTCCCTGTTTTTTTTTTTTTTTACATTGAAATAATTTTTCGATGAGTTGAGAAAGGTGGGAGAAGGTGAAGCAAGGTGAGGGAAGGAAATCAAAATGTAAAAAAAAAAAAAAAAGAAATGGATTTTAATCAAGCACCCCTTGTATCGTTGTAACAACAACAAAAACTATATAAAAAAAAAAAAAAAATGTAATAGTTTCAATCAATGATGAAACAAGAGATGATACTAGATAACGACAGGTAGAATTTTATAATAAAATATTGGCATGTAATAGTTACATTTGATTGTCAAAAACAACACTCGTTACAATTCTGTCCTAATTCTTTCAGATAAAATAGAAATAATATCGTATTTAGATTTATTTATTTGAATTTAAATGTCACACGTAGATTTCTCTAACATAATATTGACATTTAATAGTTACATCTGATTGTTCAAAAAGGATTTATTATTTATAGGTTATCATCTAGGTCTTTAGATATTGTAAGTTTTCCGATAGTTGGCGCTCTATTACAATTCAATTATTTCAGATTTATATATGACATAACTAACCTTACTTTTTATATTT